CAGATTTCTTAGAAAACAGAATATTATTCTTTTTTTTTCTTAGTTAAAGGGGTAATAAAAATTGTCAAATAATTAAGATTAGAACAATCTATCGAATTATTATACTAATTGTGTTGAGAAAATAATCTTAAAAATAATATTACAATCTTATATATATATATACCACAACTTATATACTTTGAATTATATATTAAACGAATATATTTATGTATTTTTAAATATTATATATATCCAAGAATAAATGTGTAAAATTTCAATGTAGAACTAATCTATCTATTTTCTTTCAATTATGTCAAATATACTAGTTTTAAGTATACATAAATAGATTTATGTATCTATCTATATATATCTACCAATCTGTCTATCTATATCTTTCTATCTCTCTTTAATCCTCTGTATCCAAGCATCAAGTGAAAATATAGAACAATGGATCTTCCTTCTCCTCCTCCTCCTCCTCCTCCTCCTCCGCCATCTTTAACTCTTTTTAATTCTTCATCTCCCTTAATACTTATTTTAAAATTGACATAATATATTTGACACGAACTCGAATAGGATGGGGTCGTGACCCAATAGCACAGATTTTTCACGGTTAACGTTTGATATTTGTTCGCTCAGTTTGATCGACTTGTTCGTCCACCGGTCGCCATTTTCGTTCCTGTTGGATATATCTTGATAAATTTCTATCAATTCTTTTTCTCGTTTCGATGAAAATATCAAATCTTTTCTCCACCCCTTTTCATCTTTCTTTTTTTTTTTTATTAATGTTTTACATTTTTATTTCTCCTCAATTATCTTGACGTATATTTTTAAACGACAAGGATATTAAATATTTTCTCTATACATATATCACTTAGAAATTATTTATCACAAGATGTGCATTAATGGATTTTCAAATAATATAATGAAAACGACAAAATTATAATATAACGGTGAACAAAGTGTTTTAATAATTAATATATAAATCTCAAAGGGAGTTATAGACGGTTAATAAATCTTATGAACAATTAATTTGAACTAGTTGTACGTTTCGTCCCTTACTGGGGACTTCATCAGCAACTAAAAAAAAAAAAAATTTTTATTATGACTTGTTAGTAAATATTACAATAAATTCTAATTTTTTCTTTCTTTTTTTTTTTTTTTTTTACCTTGATCATTTACAGTTCACGTGTTCATACATATAATCTTTTTTAATAATGTTCCATTCTAATCTCATTGATTCAGAAAAATATTTACGAAGTTTTTAATTGTATAAAACGTTCATCGTTATATACTTATTGTCGATCAATTTGTTTCTAATGTAAGTTGTAAAGAAGTTTTCCAAATTTGTTACAAAGAAATATCGAAAATGAACGATATTACTAATAAACGTCGATTATCTCTTTGCAACAATTAAACGATCAATAATTATATGAGAACGAGTACACATTCATTACTCATTACAGTATCATTCATTACATTAGAAAGGAACACACAAATTACATGATAATTAAAATGATTGTACATTAATTTAGGTATACTAAAACAAGGAATACAAAAATATAAAAAAAAGAGAGGGTGGGAGAGGGGAATTGGAAGTAGAAACATTGAGATAGGATGAAATTTGATTTACTCGAGAAGGATTCTAATAATAAATGTCGTATCTCTTTGCTCCAACTATACTACCGGTTAACTATACATATATACATATATACATTATATGTGTATATTATACGTACTATATATATATATATGTATGCGCGCAGGACTGCTCGAAAACTCCTCGACCCAATTAACTCGTCGTTTGATCTCAAGATTCGAAGCATCCTCTGATTGCGCGCCTCCTGCTCTGCGAAATATGTACACGTTTAAGGGCGTGACGTGATCAAGGCGAATTCATCCGCTTCTCGCAAACGAAGATAACTTCAATATCTACATACACATACATAATAATACGTATATACATTTTTAAATACCTTTACAAAATCCCCAACCTATCTACGTAAATCGTTACGTCAATGTACAGAAAAGGATACCCTTTTTTTATATTGCTCATACACCACTGATCCAATTACTAACTTTCATTATCATACATTTATATTTATCAACCTAAATATTTATTCGACTAAACAAAAAATAAAAACACAGACAATGGTAAACACAATTGTTTAATCAAATTTTTGTTGTTGTCTCAGGATTATTATATCTGATATATTGTTTTTGTTTCATTTATATATGGTATTGTATTTCTTTGAAATTGTTTCTCACCGTTTTCTTTTCTTTTTTTTTTTTTGATTTATTATTTCAATGCAAATATTATTTGCAGAAAAATTGACAAAATATAATGACATATTGAACAGTCGGCAATTACATTGTTCGTTTTAATTATTTTTAATCAAATTTATATATATACCCAAGTAATACACGGTAAATAACATTTATTTTCATTTGTGTTTTTAGAAAAATAATTTCCTCAATATTTTTAATTAAGTACAAACAATTATTTTTAAAAGATTATTTTTTTGTTGTTGCATTTTCTCACTAATTTTTTACTTGTTTTTTTTTTCTAAATAAATGATCAAAATAGACCACTTGAACTTCGTTAATTTAATTTTGGGGTTGAAAGATATAAAAAGAAAATTGACTACACGGATACCGAAATAGAAAAGCTTTCTTCTTTCGAAAATACTGTTTTCCTTTTTTTTTTTTTTTTACTTTACTTTACTGGTGTATCGTCGCCTCTTGCGATTGGCGAAAAGGTTTTAAGAGAAAGAAAGCCGATGAAAGAATGCACTGGTAGGACACTACCGGGTCATGAATAGATGAGAGGAAGATAGAATTGAAAAGTTTGGTGACCTGAGGACCGACCATCTATATGGTGTCCATAAATCCCTTGACATTTGGCTATTAGAGTGGCTTCTTTTGAGAGCTGAAAATTTTGTCTTTAGAAGCAAAATAAAATTGACAGCGATGAAAGCCAACAAGAGAATGTGCGTTAAATTTTCATTTACTTTTCATTCGTTAAACTTTGCATCCTTTTTTTTTTGCCCTTTATTGCAAAATTCCAATTAAAAATTAAAAATATACGATAAGAAAAATCGTCGCAGGAAAAAATAATCAATTTGTTATTAAAGTATATAGCTCGCGATTCGTTAATACTTATTACAATTTTGTTTGTTCCTGTATAAGATAATAATTAAAAAAAAAAAAAATATCGTCTCTCTCTCTCTTAATTCAACAAAATTTTCTAATTTATCGCCGTATATAATTTATTTAAAAACACAAAGTTATTTATAAATAATATTTTTCTATTCAAATTTCTTCACACATATATTTTCTAATATTATTATATATTTAATATAATATAAAATAATTTCTCTCTCACACAGAACGATCCATTTAATATTGATTACTTTATAATAAATTGAAAATTGTCGATATTGGGGGTTAAATGAACTCGTCGTTATTTCCTCGTCCTGTTGTCCATCTCGTAAATATGAAAGACAAAAAAGAAAAGTTTTGAAGACGAGACCAGCGACCTGTTAGAAAACTAGAGCGGAAAATACCATTGATGTCTCCGTGGATGACGGTATAATTATTCCTCTCGCATATTACGATGCACCCCGCGCGGATCGATATTCTATTCCTAAACTTCGGTCGTATGTGTTCTTGCTTTTCTCTCTCTCATTCGAAAGTAGGTCAAACCGTAAGAGGCCGCAAGCTTACACTCTTATTACTACTCAAGGGCCGTGTTGAACGAGTTTATCGTTCAAAACTTCTATCTTCCATTGCACCATCTGTATTTATCTAATTGTAAACCCTTTCTTATCAACTTCTTCCATTTTTATATTATTTTCCTTTTCATTTCTTTTTTTTTTTTCTCTCATCAAAGAATTCAATTAAAATATCGAGACTCTCCTACCGGAAACCTGATTTACTCATATGTAACACGTTATACGAATTTCGCGTTCTATGACAAATTTGTGTCTTACCTAATATTATATGATTTGTTTTTTTTTTTTTATTTCACAATAATATTTCACAGAAATTATTTTCTATTGGATGTAAATATTGTGAAAATTTATTCTTTTTCGGGAAAATATTTTTAATAACGCAGTGGGGTTGACGTATCATAATAACAGACAGAAAAAATTCCAACTATGAAGGTAACGATGCAACGCGCTCAATTAAAACAAATTTGATGTTTAAAATACGGTCAATATCCACATTTGATTGTGTTAGCGCGTATATTACGAAAATCTACTGTATTATTCTTTTTAATATAATAATAGAACTAAAATATTATTACTTTGTAACATGTATTTATTTAGAAACATTTACTTTTTGTCGAAATATTTTTTGTTTGACAATTTTTCCAAACGAAAGTAACAGTATAACACATTACAATCAAATGTTTCATAATAATTAAAATAATAAACTTACTTTATTCTTTTTCATGAAAAAAAAAAAAAATAAATATGCTACTAAGAATAATGGTAGATAATAAAATGTATATTTGTCTTAAAAAATTAAATATTCCTCTTAAAACTTTCTTACTATTACCGTTACGCGTTCTTGCTCATAAAATAACAAGTAAATCTAATTAAGGAAATATTGTATAATCTATCTATCTCGTCGTAGAAAGAATTTATAAATTCTTATCTCTCGTAATTAATATATTACTGTTTTTAATATTTTAATATTATTTCTTCTTCCTCTTTTTTTTTTAGAGAGAAAACAAATAATAATAATTAAAACAAATTAAATATTCAATTAGGAAGACCAGGGGGGAATCTTTGTTATTTTAATAAAGAATTTAAAAAAATCTTATACTTCGATGATATTATTATTGTTATTACAATTATTATTTTTTACTTTCTCTCTCTTTCTTGATGTAACTTTAGTAAAATAAATAGAAAAAATGTGAAATATGTGAAATATATATATATAATATTTTTTCTTTCTTCTTTTATATCTTTAATAAAATAAATTAATAAAAATAATGTGTAATATATTTTTTTCAGGCAACCGTCACCGAGTTCCGGTACTACGGTAACATCAACGATCTCGTCGAATGGTGGCGAAGGCGATGGCAATCAAGTGATCGGCATGTATGCTGTTGGTACAAACGTTCCAACGTCTACGGAAACGTCAACGGTAACTCCAGTAACGACAGCATCATCATCATCATCGATTCAGATGACCGGAAATAGTACAGCTATGGGTACACATTCAGCAAGTAATATTACAAGAAGTATGTCCGCACCAACAGCTCCAAGGCCACACGTTCAAATTACTAGTTCAGCTAGCGTTTCTGCTGGAAATTCTCAAAGACCACGACTTCGAAGGAATATGAGCCGAACCGAAGCTATTCGAAAGTATGTATCTCTCTTGTTTATTTTTTCTTTTATTATTTTTATTATTATTAATCTTATAATTACAACAACTGTCTCGTCTATACGATTACATAGATATGAAGTGATGATAAATCTTTTTTTTTTAGTTTGTTTTTTTTTTAACTCTACGTTTTCTATTATATCATATTATCTCTGTTCGTATAATTTTGTAAATTCGTTGTCATCGATTTTGCGCGCGTGTCTACGGTCAACATTATTTTCATTCGTTTGAATAAAATTTGTAAACTCGTAAAGAAGGGAAATTAAATTCGTTCGCTCTTGCGCGTATTATTAGATACTTTTTAATTCGTTGGAAAATATGGTTTTTCTTTTTTTTTACATCCCACTTTACAAAATAAATACATTCTTTTGTATTTTCTCGTTTATTAACGTGTAACAACGTTTAATATTCTTATTTTAACACAAATAAAAAAAAAAAAAAGAAAACTACAAAATGAAAACATATTCAAAAATCGTTTTCCTTCTTTTTCTTCTTCTTCTTCTCACTCTCTCTCTCCCTCTCTCTCTAATTTTATTCTCATTTATATGACTTGACAGTTACATCAAGCGCGAAACCGCACAATTCTTTGGCGTCGACGAAGAAACCGAGACCGCGGAAAAGCAGAGATGGTTGGATCGACGACGACGAATGGCAACGAGGAAGTACGGTGCTCTGGTGCCGGAACATAGACCACCGGATCCAGATATTACGAGGGACGTACCGGATACCACGGACATACCCGAGGTGAGTTCGTTTTCCAAAATTCTCCGAAAATTGTCGACATTCAGGGGAGAACGGAAAATAGGAGAGAAATCTGTAACACGTGGACATTCTAATCCGATTATTATACGTCCTTTACTATTCCAATTAAATTTATCGAAATTCACATATATATATATATACATTCTTTGGAAATAATTAATAATCATTTATAGATATTTTTCATTAATTTTCTCGAATAATATACATGAGTTTTAATTACGATGCCTGCAGATTGGCAAAATTCCATACATCCTTGATAAATAGCACGCGTGAATAACATTACCGACATCGTATGGATTGTTACTTATTCATATAAGTGTTATTTCAGATTTATTTTCAAATAAATTATCAATTTTAACTTTTTTTTCCCATGCTGCAAAATCGTAGATAAGAAGAAAATATGTCGAAGAAAATTCACTAATTCGATTATTCTTTAACATTTTATGAAATACGAGAGAGAAAGAGAAAGAGAAAAAAAAAGAAAAAGAGAAAGAAATAACGAGAATGGAGAGTTTCATTTCGTTCTATCTATATCGTTCTCGTCCATTCAATTTCCCCATTGCCAGGCGCAAAGACCCTCAACCATCGTCAACCAAAAACTTTTCATCGGCTCGATCGTGCATTTGCAAACGAGGTTTACATTTTTCACTACTCTCTCTCTCTCTCTCTGTCTCTTTTTTTTTCACTGTTTCTTTCTCTTTATCTTTCTCTCCTTTTTTCATACACAAATTTGCCAGCCGAAATGAAATTTTGAACTTGTTTAACTATAGTTGTTCGATCTCTTCGTGATTTCGATCATTTTTACCTCGATCACAAAATTTATATGCAAAAAAAAGAAAAATATATCACCGAATGTAAAGTAATAAACAAACAATTGAAATCTAATCACAAACGAACTGAAATATATTTGTGCCCGTAATTATTATCATGGATTAAGATTAAAAAAAAAAATTGGTGATAAAATGTTTCTCTTTTATAATATAAATAATTTTAATATAACTCAAATCGTTGAACATAGTGTTTAAACAGTTGTTTCTCTCGTCCAAAAATAAAATTCTTAATGAGAAGGTATCACAGGGAACTTGGACATAAAAAAAAAAGAAGTAGAACTTAATTTAATTAAGTTGGACGTTTCGTCCCTTTATTGGGACTTCTTCAGCAACTTAATCTTTATAGTTCAGCGTCTTTTTTCTTCGAGTAGACATACATTTTTATTTTTATTTTTAATATTCAAAACACAAAACATCTAAAATCTTAATGTAAGAATTTTGAATTTAATTTTGAAATTAATAAATTTCACAATTGAAATAATTGTTTTTTCGTAGAAAATAAATTTTTTGTTTGAATTTTTGTAACTGTTCGTAATTACCAATACATTTAATATTACAATAAATATGTATTTTCGTACTTATATCTATAGAATCGATATATTTGAGATGTAGATATACAAGTAGTAGGTATCTTTCAACAATAACAAGAATATGACAAATCGAATTTCCTTCTTCAGGGCGTGACGTTGAGACGATGGCAACAACCAGTACGAAGGAAAGACTCTGTCGCAAGGATGACACTGTCAGGTCTTCACTACGTAGTCGAGGTGAGTCTTGTTACATTGCTATTGTCAGCTATCTATCCAATGCAATTTTTAAACATCCCAGGTGCATTGATCTTCATCCACGAAATCTTCCTAACTTTATCGTTCTTCTGTTTTTTACCTTTTATAATTGAAAAAACAATTCGTTTGAAAATCGGTCATAAATAATTTAATCAATAACAAACCTTTCGAAAGAATTTTGTCAAAAGGATGATTTATCATTTGTCAAAATATAATTAAAAGTTACAATTTGTTGAATAGGAAAAAAATCGAACGAATTTAAATAATTAATGATAATATCGAAATAATGATCTTACAATTAGTAAAAGCAAACGTACGACTAATCGAATACTTTGTAAGATCATGTAATGACTGGAAATGGAACCGTATGAGAATCTGACTACGGTTAATCAACGTTCTCTGATCACCGAGCCGATGTTATCCGTCTGAGTATGCCGGTAGTTAAGTCGCCTTGAACTTAAGTTACACGTCCGTACGGAAGTCTGCACGATCATTAAGCTAACGAGAGTCTGGTAACCCTCTTCCGTTTTACAAGCACTAGTTTCAACTTTCCTCGAGTAAAGTCATACGACTGTATATAACTATAACTTGTAAAATATTCTATATTCATAAGTATACACGCGCGTAACGTACAATGAGTCACAAGAGTATTCATTTTGTCGCTAACTATTTTCAACTAGTTCAATATTTGCTTTTAATGCGATGATATTTCAAAATTTCTTATTTTAATTAAAACATATATTTAAGGATTATTAAACTTGTAAATTGTTATATGAATTTTGTTATATTGCAAAGGAATGTTTTTATCGTAGAAGTAAAATTTTAGATAGATTATATGAAAATTGATTTCGCAACAAAATTAATCGTTCTCAAAATCCATTGCGAGATTCAAAGGAGAATAATAATCAAGTACTATTTACAAATAATAAAATTAAAAATATATAATATATGTAAAATTGATTTAAAACATTGAAAAATAAGAAAAAATCATTTAATATAACTATCTAATAATTATGTCCTTGCCATAATAGATCATTGTATAAATGAATGAAATTAATCTTTTAAAAAAGAATCAAGTTAATTTTTTTCCAGATAGATTAGAGAAAGAAAAACAAAAAAAAGAAAAAAGAAAACACGAAGTATTAGTCAACGTGTACATTGTTTTTTTTGTATCTAACTTTTACTTATACTCTTCCACGTTAAAAATATTTATCATTCTTCTCGTAAACATTAAACTCAACTTTACAAGTACTTAATCCTTAACAAAACAATATCATTAGTATAACGTTTAGTTGTCATTAAAATGACACCGCACTCATCGTCGTCGATTATTTCTAAGGGACATCCACGAAGTACTTTAAGCCGCCTTCGTTCCTGAAGAAAGAGGGTTGGCTGATGGGTTGGGGGGAAAAGGGAGGAGGGCTGACGAGCGTACGGAAAAGGGCGATCTTAAGGAGGAAAGATCTGTTAGAAAAATGTTGAATAAAAAAATCCATTAGGAAATTTCCATAAGACCGTGTAAAACGTATTTAAATGGATCGAAGGATAACGATTGGTGCGTTGGATAGAAAAAAGGAAAAGGACGGGGTGCGGGGTGGGTGGGTGGGGGGGGAAGGAGAGGTAGATCTAAGAGGGGTTAAAAATCGAGATGCTTCTTTTTAAAGATATCTAAGTGAAAATCCAAGCTTAATGGGCCGTGATATCCTGGAAATTCTATTAAATGCTTCGTGAATGACTCGCATCTGTCTCTCTGTCTGTCTGTCTCTCTCTCTCTCTCCCTTTCTTGGTTAAAATTAGGTAAATACCAAGCATGGATCTTTTCGTAAGATATCTAACTCGTTCGATCGTAAGTCCCAGATCATCCAATATCCGATTTAGAGATAACCCCTGCGACATTTTTATCGTTCGTTACGGATCACCGATCCGGATATTGATTTGAAATAGTCACAACTCAAAGAATTTTTTCTCTTCTTTTTCGTCTTTATTCTTTTTCTCTCTCTCTCTCTCTCTCTCTCTCTCTCTTTCTCTTTATTTTTTAAGCCAGTAAAACACTTCGACACGTTTCTCCTCACTATCCCCAGCACCTTTAACATTCTTTCGATTGAAATTCTTTCTCGAATCGATAGATACTTTGACTATCTTAAGAAGAAAAAATAAAAAAAGAAAGAGTATTCTTCTATCGCATTATCCTACTTTTTTTGTTTTCTATATTTAACGCGTTAGAATTTTGATTATTATTATTTAAGTAAATTTATCCTAAAGAGATTTAACTATTTACTCTCTCTCTCTCTCTCTCTCTCTTTGTTTCAATTTCTGGAATAGTTGTTTATATTTTGATTGTTTTTCGACAATAGACTATTAAGAAGAGGTATAGTTAATTGGGTATAGGGAAAAATGAGAAAACGAGAAAGGGAATGAGTGAAAAGGGGTGTAAAGGGGAAAAGAATGGGGTGATGGTGGTAGTACGGGCTAAACGTATAACAACGCACGGTTAATCCTCGAGAGAGGAAAAACGAACATGGCCAATTTTTCATAGCGGATCGACGCGTCGAACGGTTCCATCGAATCCACCATCACCAACACCATCAACAACCACCGCCACCGCCACCACCATCCACCAATGAGATTCGTAATTTCTTTTTTAGCCGCCATTGTACGCGAGGTTGTTTCATTCGCGAGATTTTCCGACAGTGAAAAATTGTCTCTCTCTCTCTCTCTCTCTCTCTCTCTCTCTCTCTCTCTCTCTCTCTCTCTTTTCCTCGCAATGTGCCTCGGGCATACGAACTCGTTTCAGTTTTGTTGGTTTTTCGCCAGTTTTCCAGCACGATGAGTAACGTCGAAATGGCCAGGAACGTAACGCAAAGCGGCCGAGAGCCAACAGCACCGTAAAATCCCCGAGATTCTTCGATTTTCGCCATTTTATACGACCGGTATCGATTTTTGGCTTGAAAATTTATCCCTCCCACGAAATATATGTATATATATATATATATGTATGTCGAATTTTATAGGTTCCGTTGTAGGATCGCAATAGGTATTTCTTTATTCTAGTCAATAATACTATCACACTTTCTTCAGCTTTATAAACTTTGTTTCTTTTAGACATTGAATATATTACTACTTATAGACAATTTTTATCTATTAACTAAAACTATCTTCTAGTTCCTATTAATAGTAACTATAACTAATGACGAGCGTGAATTCTCGTTGCATCTTCAATAATATATACATAGTATATGTGTATTTTTTTTATATAATATTGTTTTAGTATTTCTGTTTCTGTCTTATTTTCTTTTTCTATTTTTTACGTTGGAAATGATTGCGAATGACTACATAAAAATGATCGAAATTATTACTTCATTTTGTATCGAAATGATTTTTATATTTATTATTGCACTCTTCGGTGTTATTATATACAATATTATATACATGAATTTATCTTAAAAATAATATAACTATTTCTTATAATAAAATATTTGAAATCGTTTATAAAATCATAGGAATTATTTACAACAAGCCAATTTGGGACATCTTTAAAAAGATTATTTAAAATGAACTAGTGTCACGTAACTCGCGTAGAGAAAGAGAACCTCAGTGTTTAACCATGAATATCAGGAGAATTGGAATTATAATTGGATCCCGAAATTCTGACGGCTCGAAAATCTATTCGGTCATGTTCAATCCCATTCGATTTCCATTTTACTCTCTCTCTCTCTCTTCTTCCCTCCTACCCTTTTACCTCTCCCATCAAGCAATCGGCCTCGAAGGACTGTACCTGAGTCGTCTAGGTGTTGTACTCTAGATTTGTATAACCTGATATCGAGGTCACGTTCAATGCAGTTGGATCACAGATAGACAACATTGAAATTAATTTTAAATAATATTAATAATAATAATAATAGGAATACTATATATATATATATTTTTGCAACGCTAATGTCCTGATCGTTAACTAATTAAAAAACTTAAATTTATTTTTGATTTTTTTATCTTTCTCTCTCTCTCTCTCGTCTTCACGATATTATCGTTGAATTATTTTTTACTCGAGAAAAAAATAACGTTTTATATTCGAGTAGATAACTCGCTATAGATCTGGTATCGAATATTCAATTATATTTTGTTATTTAAAAATCAAATTATTTTTAAAAAAAAGTCGATTATGCGATTCGTCTGATTAAATATTTTCTATTAATACTATAAGTTATATTTTTAAAAAGTGTCGACATTTAATTGATGAAATTTTTTTAAATTTCGCCACACGTGCTAGATTTATTATTAAAAATCTGCTAATTTTAACCCACAACGCGAATTAAGATAACATAGAAAACCTACGACAGTAAGTTTTATACTAACTAATATGTGCAACTTATGGCTCATTAACATCTCATTGTTAATCAGTAATTGTTTGCCATATTTATTAATTATTTGACAAGTTATGCGCTTATGGCATAAATTCTTTACCACGAGTCAGACTCGTGGTTATAGGCCAAGAAGTTAAATAATAAACAAAAAAATATATAAAAATCTTTTTCTTCTTCTTCTTCTTCTTCTTCTTTTAGTAGTTTTTCGTAGAAACGGATTTGGTCGAGCGTGATCGAAAGAAAATCGATTACAAATGGAAACTCTTGACTATTGTTCCTATATATTCGAAGGGCCTATTGTACTTTACCTTGATTCACCGGTGCTCTTCAATTTCGTATTTTCGAGATACAATTCTTTCTTCATTGCTCTCTCTCTCTCTTGTTTTCTTTCTATCTTTCTTTCTTTCATTTTCTATTTTCTCTTGTCTAACTCAAGACCACCCTACGTGTTCTCTTCTCTACCTTTCCAAGCCACCCACCCCAATGCAACTTAACTTTTCATTATCCTTTTTTTTCTTTCGGAAGAAAAAAAAATTCATTTTTATTTTTATTATAATTAAATTTTTCAAAAGAGGAACAACGAGGTTTTCTATTACAACAACAAATTATTTAAAAACAAAC